AACATGCAAAATGGCATCTGAAAACACAATTAATCAATAAGCAATTAATATTGAAAGTTCTTTATGTTGAGGGGGAAAGGTACAAACTGGAGACTCAACTCTCATCTATGAGCAAACATTTAGAAGTACCACTGTAAGCTGTAACGGGAGGCTCTAAACATATATGCATTTAGCTGCCACAACTCAGGGTGGGTGGGATTCAGGCAGTTTGATTTTTTTGCTCTGCATCAAGTAACTGAAAAAATACTTGCCACCAACTTACCCGTTTGCAACATTCTGTGGATCCCAGGTCTCACTGAAAATGTTTTGGTTTTTTTTTTTTTTTTTCTGGAGGAAGTGCAATTGATCCTTCTTCCACAGCTGCTAGGTTGTTTTTTCCAAGAAGTACTCGATATTTCCTAGAAGAACTGGGCAAGAAAATGAGTAACACTCAGTTATGCAGCTGCTGGTTTGCTGCTTAGGCATCTGCATCTTTGCCACCTGAGATACTCAGTACGAATATCCTTAAGATCTCACATCACATGCATCATTTGTCTGGAGCTGAACCAACGTCTGACTGATTTGCTAAGCAGAAAGCATTGTGTGCTAGGCTTAATAATCATTTCATCTCCAAGCCTTCCTGTCAACTCCTGCTTAAGGCTTCATTAACAGACTCAAGATGCCTCCAACCTTTGCAGGATTCAGCTCGTATTCTTCAGTGAAGTAAACAATTTGGGCTGCTTTTTTGACAGCAATAAACAGCTTCACTGATAAACAGCTATGTGATAGGTATAATACGTAGGATTTATAACAACAACATGCAGCCAATCCTTCTTGTTTCATATTACGGCATTTTCTACAACTTAGTGTTACAATAACCAAGAACTGTATGTACATATTCAAGGACATATGCTACCAAACCAAAATAGGGTTGTCTTTGTGGAAACAGTTTTGATGATGAAAGGGCATAGCTGTACCTGATCATTTCTTTGTTATACTGCCCCATAATATGAAGAGCTTACTGAAAATGACTGGTATATTCAAAGCATTTGTAATTATTTCTTCAGAGAGTGGATTCATTAGTTAATCTATGGATCTCACTGCCACATATATTATAGAAACAGGCAACACAGCTGAATTTTAATAGCAACTTGAAAATATAATGAAGTTTGTAGTTATTTACAGAAAATGAAGAGTATATAATTCAGGTAATTGTATGAGGCATTTTTTCCTCTCTACTTTTATTTTAAGAAAATTAAAAGGTATCATTCTTCTGACCTATTAGTTATAATCAAAAGATATGATGTGAAACTCGGAGCTCTTAATTGGGAAAGGGAGAACTGGCATTAATACAGTTTTGCTTCATCTATCTCTGGTCATGCACTACTTCCTGCGTACAGACTTCAACTCCATTATTTACCCGATGCAGCGTGCAGCTGTCATCACCCAGTTGGTTGCAATGAGGGTTCCTCCACAGGTGTGATACCATTTGCCATTTGAACTGTATTGATGGAGGCCTAGGATCAACATAACAAGTAAGGCTCAGATTTTTGCTTACTGATTTTTCATTGTCGCGCTTTCTTCCTGCACCCAGAACACAACTTACTGCTGGAAGATGGTGGGAGGCTTTTAAGCAACAAGTTTCCAACTCCTGGCCACAGAAAAGATTTTCCTCCTTCCCTATCATCCAAAAGCTTCTTTTTTTTTTTTTTAATGTTGTTTCTTCCAAAGCTCTCACTAAGTCTGACCTAAATAGAGCATTTCATTTGCTTCAGAAATGTATTTTTTAACTCCATGTACAACTATGCTCCCGTAGGCATTGCATGCTCCACTGAATTTCACAGTCGTCTTGCTTAAATACGGGCTGGTCCCCAAGACTACTGAAAGAACATGAAAGCCTGCATAACCAGCAACAGGTGGCACATTCGGAGCTTTCTTAAAAAGATTGGAAACTTTGGGATTGATCAGAATGTAATATTCAAAACCTAAGACATGACAGGCAAGATGCATCAAATGTAATATAGGACCTGGTTTTGTTCAGCCACGTTGTGTAAGGGTAGCACAACCCTAACTGTTCCAGGGAAAGCTCAAAAATGACTAACCTGCCAGGGCCAGCTGTAAAGTCTTGCGTCTTCACCTCCAAGAACTCTAGATACAGTGGGTGGGTGGGCAGGAACCCCGCAGCCAAAGGCTAGAAGACATACAAAATAGGATGTGTGTTTTAAAAGTAGGAGGTTTAAAAATGTCTCTAAGAGAGGTTGATTTTTTAAAATATAGACTGCGTTTGTACAGAACATTGCAAGGTACAAATATAGGCTGTGATTTAATGTGATACAAGTGAAGATACAGCCATCGGTCAAAACTGACCAATGTTATATAAAGCCTGTTTGAACGGTTTCATTTTTCTGACAGATAATAAAATCAAGCTGGCTTAAAACAAATTCTCATGTGTCAGCTGAGATGCAGCTCTTAGCCAATGCAACAATTTGATGTGGATTAACTGTATTTCAGTGTATTCAAGCTAAGTAAAGTAACTTTGGATTTGCTAAAGGCTGAGAGCAGTAATGCTAATCGTGCCCTTGTAATAAGAACGGAATAGCAAAGCACCTAGTTACTGTTTTGAGAGAACTTTTTCATTAACTGCCTATGCTGCATCTCATATGCCTATGCTCTCATTTCATACATATGAAAACCTGTATCTTCTTTTCTAGATCAAGTTGCATGTGTTTTAGCATGCCATACTACTTCAATAAAACAAACTGTAATCACTTTGAAGTGGAAGATGTTTCAAGCAATACAAAGAACCAGCTGTCCGTGGTGACGGAGAAACACTGGTGTAGCGTGGTGAGCCAGACTTAATTTCTTTCCTATTTACCTTTAATTGTTAGATCAGTAGCACATCCCTGGAAGATAATAGGGTTCCTGTAGCATTGCAAATGAGCATTTTTACACCCCAAATCAGCATGCTGACCCGTGGTATTATGCAGTGTGAGCTTGTTAATGAAAAAGGTTAAACCTTTTTCACCAATAGGACAAACCAGACAAGAGCAGGCATTTAGACCACTACAGAGCTGCTGCCACAAAAGAAAGTGTCCTAATTAATTACTGGACATTTGAGATCAGTGACTTGATATCAATACTTACCCTTGTGTCTATTTCTTCCTTTTTTTCTTCTACTACGGGAATTTTCCATCCTCTGACACGTTTCCATCCGCCTACCCTTCACCTGAAAACTGTTACTGGTTATTTAAAAAACAAACATCTCTATCCCATAAGCCAGGTCACGCATAGGGAGCAAACTTACTAGAATGGAAACAAATATCATAATGCCAGTTTTGTAATGAGAGTTGCATTGTACATACAGACCAAACTAGAGGTTTCAGAAAAGCTGAAATCTATTGTTTAATGTCAGTATTAACAAGCAGCAAAATCCCTGATTTTCATAGCTTCCATTCAGCAGTAGGTACTGATTTGGATGAAAGATGCCTGGAGCACACATGTGGAAGGCAGAAGTATATAATGCTTTGCTGTTTTGTCTGCTTCTCAAGAATGTATTATCCTACCCAAACAATAGCACTTGAGAAAGCTGCATTCTGAATTTCAAATGGAATCAACCAAACTCTGTTCTGGCATCTTGTACTTATTATCTGACAAAAGCATAAATCAGGATTAACTGAGTGCAGAATTGAGATTCTAAAAATTTTTTTCATTAATTAGTTGGCTCTCTTCTTAATGTCTGAATTTACAAGCTAAACAACATACTGTGCTTTTCAGTTTAACTTCCATGCCACTATCATTTTCATTGAATACCAACTAACAATTAAGTATAAATTTTGGATGATCAGTTACTGTTTCAACTTTCCTGTTTTATCGGTGTGCTTGTAAACATGGAATTTTGTTTAGTTTTTTAAGCATTTCTGCAATCATTTCACAAATAGCCTTCTGCTATCTTGCACACTGTAGAGAAACCCTATTCTTTCTTTTTCCCTTTCTTCTTTGTGAAGGAATCCTGAAACAGTTCGTTTATTATATGGGGGAAGGCTCGTAAGAATCATCATATTTTTAATGTAAAACACTCTCAAAGCTTTTTGTTTTGTTTTGTTCCACTCCTCCTGCTTTATGTAACGATTGTTTATCCATCTTTTTCAGGTCTAGTCTAAATAGGCTGAAGTATCTTTCTTGGACTCAGTGGGCATCATACTGTTGGCAGTTCTGCAAGTGAACATCAAAAGGCTCAGCCTCCAGCTGATACCATCGTGGCTTGGAAACAGCTCCCTAGAAGCTCTTATCATCTTCGTGCCATATGTTTCACAGAAACTGAGCAGCTCATGGAACTTCAGTAAGAAACAGCAGGAACTTCTGGTACGTTCTGTTAAAGCGTAATAGCTAGTATCTCTTTCAATACAGCATAATTAGTGTACAATTTATAAGGTACTCCATTGCTTCACTATCCTTAGTCTAGTCCCTTTTAGGGTAGTAACAATGCTAGACCTACTTTTCTGAGGGAGGTTTTTCATCTGAAACTAGGCAGTAACCTATTTAAAAATTCAAAGTTAAATCCTGCCCTAGCTTTTCATTGGGAGCACCAAATGTGCCAAATTCATTACTTGCTCAATGGCCATTAAATCTGCTACTTGATTGTGCCCCAAGTTCGTTTCTGTGTGTTACTAAAACTAAAGCTTGGCCTGCATGCCTCAAGGTAGAACAAGGTTACACAGAGCCAGGGAAATGGAGATTAGCACCACCCTGTGTGTTTCAGTCTCTTATCGTGCCTTCCAAATGTGTGTTTCAGTCTCTTATCGTGCCTTCCAAATTGTCTGTTCCCAGCTTAGACCCATTTATGTATTATTTTCCACACTGTATTTCCTTTTCATCCAAGCACTTTTGTAGTCAATATGGGCCACAGATGTAGCATAAGGCTCTGCTTGTTTTAACTGGGTGGGGAGCAAGGGGAGGAGAGAATGCAGACAAAAAAAAAGAAAAAAAGAAAAAAAGAAAATAGAACCACACTCTGGTGATCAGATTAGACTGAAAGATATTTATTTAGAAACAACAGCTTTGGTATTTTAAAACCAAACAATCTTTAAATCACTAGAAAGTGGGATGTCTCCCCCCATAGCCAAAACAAATCAATGCACAAAGTCTCAATATGCTTAGAATAGGAAACCTGCAGATCAGCGTTTCCAAGTGTAAATCCAGAAAACAATTTCATTAAATTGGTTTTGCACTCTACAATCATAAAGGCTGAAAAACCTGTTACCAGCACTTAGATATCTACAGTTCAATTGACTGACTTGTTACTGAAGTGGAGGCAAAATTATTAACATCCTCCCCCTCCCCCCCAAGCAATAAATTAAAAAAATGTATACCAGAAAGGAGGTTACACTGAAGTTTTCTAGTTAAGTTAACTCTCTGAAGGGAACCATCATTCTTTATTTTCCCGTAAAATTAAAAAACAAATCAAAATATCAAAGGACTTCATATATCTTCAAGTATTTTCACCAAATGGATTACTCTTAGGGAATTAACAGCTTACAAGGAAAAGGAAACATCTATTACAGAAGCTTCTGGGATAAACTCTTGAATAACCACACCTTCCAAGTCTCAGATTCCTCTCTTAACAAGGCACAAAAGGATTGTTGCTTTCAAAAGGTCCTTGTTCTCAGCTGCAAAATTGTCAGATGTCTTGTGCAAATGGAGGCTGAAAGCAGGACTAAGTTCACTTGGACACTGGGATGTTCCCATTCAATTAATGAAATGGGGTGTTACTTCAACACCGTTAATCTTGCTTACTGCTACAGAGATTTTGAGCTTCAGGTGGCTTCCACTTCATCCCTGTTTCTGGAATCAAGTTCTGCATCATCTTCATTTTAAGTAGGTCCAATTAAGACGAGGCAACAGACTTGTTTGCTGTACACTGCAAGGCTTTTTGCAGTGTCAAGAAGGAAGAGGTGTTATGTCAGCCCTGGTGTGTAGCTGTGAAGCTTCTCGGCGTTTCAGAGACTAGTGTCAGGGACAGTTACCTGTAGTAATGGTTAACAAGTCATTCTGTAAAAGGCAGAAGGCAAGTCTTGTAGATGTCAAAGGCAACCAGACAGACAGCAGTGAAAAAAGGACATAATTTTATAATTTCAAGGACACATTTCAGGATGCATGTCAGGGTGCAGGTGTGTACACAATAATTGAAATTACTTCCTGACCGCTTCCTCCTTTTGCACTAAGGTTTTGATCATGATCATAGGCTTATAACTGCAGTTGTCTTTAATATACATATCTATCCTACCTCTTCCTAGGTTAGTTTGTCTAGCCACAAGCACCTTCTACTCTCATTCTTTCAATGGATGACAGGTATTCAGACCTGATTGGGATCAGGCCTGATCTCCAGTGCTCAATATTACAGAGCCAGTGAGCTGAGAGGGAAATTGCCAACTGACTTTAAACACCCTTTATGTACTGTCAAGTTTAGTCCAGTACCATCTGTCCAGCCTTAGCTATCCAAAATTGAATTTGCTTTTATTAATTTGGAAAAACAGGGCAATCTAAAGCTAGAACTTTTCCTCTGACAGCACTATTTAACTATGTCCTTTTTTACTTCCTTTTTTTTTTTTTTTTTTTTAAAACACAAGCTACATTTAATTCTCTTCAGCCCTAAGGAGGGATGCCTCTGAACTATATGGCTAGCTCTCTGAACTGTATAGCTAGCTCACACAGCAAATCCAGTCTCATCTTTTATTTCCACTCCGTATCAACACGCAACCAGAAAGTACCAGTACTAAGAACAGAAATCACTGTCTATTGTCTATTCTGTGCTAAGTTTTTACTAGCAACTAAGTTTTCTAAGGCAACTCAAACCAAGAATTTCAAATCCTTTACACCAAAGTGAGATGCAGTAGAGCTTGAAGTCAGAACCTCTAACTCACAGTAAAAATCACTCAGTACTTTTCTTAACACAGCTATGTATTTTGTCTGAATGAGAGAAACACTAGCTCAGCACTTTCCCAGAATGATGGTGGTAAACGTGGTTTGATGGAGGACTGCACAGTGTCTATAAATCTATGAACATTTACTAGTAGTCCCAACAAGTCAGCACCTTGATCTAAGAACACTAGCTTGCATTTATGTGTTCTTGTATGACACATCACACATTCAAACCAGGCAGACAAGTGTGCACGTCTCCCACACAGTAGTAAAGTATAGCAGCTCTCTCACAAGCATTCCGGTACTGCATAACAAGAAACATAATCTCGTGACACAGCTGCAACCGTTGGCTTAAAAACAAGCAATGTCCTACACCAGTGTGTGGAAAAAGGACAGAAAAAGCTGTGTCTGCCTTGATCTGCAGCCTTACAACTGTTTAACAACAATGGATTTATCTTTTCTAATGTTTGCGAGCCCTACTGCTCCAATCCCTGCCCTAATCTACTTCTTGCAAGAAGAGGTCACAGATCACTTCTTGCAAGAGAGACTGAAAATCCTCACAGTCCAAGACAGAACCTCCCTAGGCACAGCTGACAGAAAATCAGGTTGACAACACTCAGTGGACAGCAGCCAAAAGCAGCAGCCTTATACCTTACTCCTGAAGAGCGGCTTGGCTCCTGGCCCGCAATATTCGTTGTAGATGAGTTTGAACAGAAACAAGTGAAACAGTGTGATTAAGGAGGCCACGCTGAACCAGAACAGGAAGGGTAAGCCTGGGTATTGCTTGGCCATATGTTCCTCATGAGCCAGAATAGCTTTTAGATGGAGTGTGTGCCTCAGGTCCTGCAAGTGGATCAAATCTGTTGATATATAAAGCAGTGGTGTGATGGGTTGAGTCACCATGACGGGGAACGTATGACCTCGTGCCTCTGAGGTCAGCTCCACAGGCTCATTCATACAGCCTGCCTCACACGCATATAGTCTAACTGGCTTGTCTTGGAATTTCACAGACACGTGCAAGAAGGGCTTTCCTTCAGCATCCAGCAGAACAGCTAGATTAATCAAGTCCTTATTGTAATGGATCCCACGTAAGGAATAGCTGTTATGAAGTACATCGGGGTCAGCCTGAAACTGAAGATGGTTTTCTGTGAACTGCAGACCCCCAAAACTAAGCACCATTCCCTGCATAAGTCCATGGACTCCAGCTGCCACAAGACCCTTGCATCCCCGTTTCTGGAGAGTGAGCTTCCACAGGTCTGAGAGTTGCAAGATCTGGGCGACACTGGTCAGCTTTGCTGGCCACAGGTTCTCTGCATGCATGGTCGCGTGGCCACTGAAGCAGTGGTCAGCATAGTTCAAGCTGGCTTCCATTTTTTCTCTGTCCTCACCACTAATGAGTGGATCTAGCAGAGGAGCTGGCATGCTTGACAGCACATAGTAGAGGGTCATGTTAACAGTCTCACTGGATGGTGTATGCGAATCTGTGATCTTTCTCATTTCAACCCCTGTAATAGAAGAAAACAACCAAGAGTCAAGAGGCTCACACATGAATATGACAGTAACTAGGAGAAAAAAAAGATCAAATGTGCATGTCGTCTTTCAATACACAGGCATTCTTTAGAACATCTAAGAAACCTTTGCCTATGAAACACTGAAGTGAAATGTTTCCTTCTATTTTCTTAGACGCTCTCTCTGCTACTTGGAGTTTGAACACCAAGCTCCCACTAAAGGCAAAGCTAGTTTGATATACAGATGCCTTATGGAGCTGTCACCGTGACTCTACCAGAATGATCTGTCAAAGGAACATCTATCTACTGGCTATAAAATAGCAAGTTCTACATTACTTGGGCAGCTACCCTTTCATGCAAGGCCGTGAAAATCTTATTTTAAGAAAAAGCATCCTTGTAGGACAGTCCTTAACTTCCACGAAGAAATCTGTCCTTTATACTGTCACTAGAAGTCAACTCTATTTCCAACTTAGAGCTGATATGCTGGGCAAATCAGTAAAGTTCCTGAAGACGTGAAAGCCCTGCACATGCAGAGTTTGATTAGAAATGTTCTTCTATCGTTTCCTTTATGCAGTAAGGAATATTCCACTTCTGTCAAGTTTGCTGGGTTCCGAACCAGGAATGCTGTTTTACTATCCCACAACATGCCTTCTGGCCCCCGAGAGAAACCTGTCAGGAAGAGTGGAGCCTCTGGAGACCTTACAGCAACCAGGTCACTGAGCTTCCAGCTGCCCTCTAAAGCAACCCTTTGGAAGTTGAGCATCACTTTCCTTACCTGAAATGAACAGGTCTGACCAGGTCTGTTGGTGCTCCTGGAAAAGATCTTCCACCCCCATCTGCATCACCTCCAGCATCTCTTTCTTGGCCGACTCCCTCAGCTTGCTGAAGGTCTCCTCCAGCCTGGAGACCTCGATGGGCTCTGAGGTGTACACCACGGAGAGCACGGTTTCGTCAAAGTGGGATTTGGGTGCGACCTGCACCCGGCTCACGAGCTTCTTGGCAGCCACCACCATAAGCACCACCTTGGGGCTCCCGGCCAGTAGCAGGCGACCGGAGGAGAGCAGGAACTGCCGCTCCTCCACCTTCTCCAGGCTGCTGGCAAAGCGGCTGCCCAGCGAGGGCGCAGAAGCTGGGGCCGAGGCCTCGAACGCGGCCACCCGCTCGGGGGGGGTGGCAATGCGGATCCGCTGCAGGTAGAGATGCGGCCGGCTCCGGTGGGCCACCACCTCCTCCCGCACCGTCACGCAGTCCCCGGCGCCCGCCCCGGTCCCC